GTTCATATTTTGCCCTTTTAGGATTTTTAAAATTATGATGTTCTTCTTCATATGTAGAATTCTGGCCTCATTCTGCTCTGGGTGTCCCCCATCTCTGACAGCAGGAGGAGTCATTTTTGCCTGTCATTGTCCCCACAATTCCAAGGGGTCCCTGCACACAGGATCTCAGTGGTATCAAGAGAGAAATTCTCAGCATTATCCAGCTCTGGCCCGATTCTTCTTTGCATCTTTCTCCCATCTTTTTTAAGGAACTAGATTCTAGAATTAGTGAAGAAGAGGGACCCAAAAGTTTCCCATCTTCCTTTAAATCTTGCTGGATTTCTGTCTTCTCTGCAGCCACTCCCTCTCTCTGCCCTTAGATCTAGTAATCCTAGTGCTGGCTCCAGGCCAAACTGATGGTTTATACCACAGATGTAACATAGATTTACAGCAGGTTGGAATAGGGGACCCATATGCGTAGGATCTTTTTTTCTGAACATACAAATATCACTGTGTGTGCTGTAGGGACAGGTGGCTGTAGGGTGGACAGGAGATCACCACTTGTGAGAGACAGAAAAATGGTTTGAGGGACCAAAATGTTCCAAAATTTATTGTGCGTATGGTCACACCTCTCTGTGAATATGCTGTAATTGATTCTTTCCAATGGTTGAAAGAGATGTCTCATTTATATCTCAATAAAGCTGTTCTAACAGGAAGTTCTGGCTGCACATCAAATGAAGCAGAGATGCCAGAACCACCGTGGTGATTGAACAGAAAGACATGAAAAAGCTCAGGCGAGTGGACGTGGTAGCACAAAATAAAACTGGGAAAAACCCACGAGTCTGTCTTCCAAGGGAAACTGTTTCTCAGGCAATAAGGACTGAGCAAGTGAGCAGAGTAGTGACCTCAGTGTGTCTGTCCTTTGTAGGCGGGGACTGACTCTAGGAGAGAATATTACAGCAGTAACAGGGGTGATAGTGTCCCAGAAAGTCAGAGGACAGGTGACAGCAAGACAGAAACAAGGACTAAATCCCTAAAACCAGCAATGTCACAATGGAAGCAGGAAATTCTGACCTCAAAGTCTTTATGGAAATGCTTCATAGATTGTGGTGTTTCTAGGGGCAAGGTGGATGGACAGACAACAAGAGTTGCTTAGCATGATAATCAATAGATAGGAATAACTAAATTTTAGGCTGAGATGAGCTGCCTAATAGAAAGCTACCATCCCTTATTCAGTTTCCAGACCTGAGCCAATTCTCGGACCCAGGACTCACTGGCTGAAGGGAGCCGAGGTCCCCTGAGGAAGTACCCTGTAGTACATGGCAACTGTGTGCGGTAGGAATTCCCCACGTCTTTCCATGTAGGTACCAATGGCTATTTTTTAGATTTTCATTCATTGACAAAAGGGAAGATCTAGGTCCCTTTATGTCTATTGGATAAAGTCCATTTTGACAATGATACCTGGGAACCAAAGTACCAGCATGAAACCCCACAACCTCACAAGTGAATTCAAATCCCACACTGATTAGGCACTGAGAGTATTTGGAGTAAAACAGTGGAAATGTTAGTTCGACACCTCCATAAGAAAACGTTCCAGAAGGAAGTAGTTCTTGAGCAAGGCTTAAAGAAGTAGAGGATGAGGAGGAGTGGAGGAGTTTTGGAAATGCTCTCATGATGGAGAAGGAGGTGTAATTTGCCTGAAAGTAGGACTCTCCCCAATATCTGCATCTCACCCCCTGGTCGTTCCCTCACTCTCCCCACAAAGTCCCCTCCCCCGATCACCTTTGTTGTCTTTGTGGAAAGCCCCCTGGCCTCAGGTCAGCGAGTTCCATCCCTGCCACACCCTCCGTTTCCTGGGTCGGTCACTTCCCTCTGTGGCTTCAGCGTCAGTATCTAGAATATATAGAAATCAATATAACAAAGCCACTAGGCTAGAAGGCCCAAGGCCTCCGGGTCCTACTATTTTGTAATCCTAGGGCTTCTGATGTCAGCTGGTGGGTCCACGTGCTGAGTGTGGAGGTGGAGCAGGTGGAGGGAGGGAGCCCCCAGTTAGAAGGCACAGCCTGCAGCTGTCCTGGTCCCGGCCACCCTGGTCTCAAATGTGTCCTTTCCATGCCAGGACTTTTGATCCCTTGTTCTTCCTTCATCTGGCACATTCCACCCCAGCGACCTGCCTTAACCTCTGGTCTTGCCCCTTCATCTGTGCTGAAAAGCTACTTCCTCAGGGATGGTTCACCTCACCCTCCACCTTTCCCCCAGGCAAGGAGAGTTTCTTCTGCTCACGTGCTTTCCTGGCCAGTGAGCATCACGTGATTGCACAGCCACCACTTGCCTTAGAAATTCCTTGAAAACCGCAAGGGTTTAGCAGTTATTGTTAGTGCCTGTAACAGTCCTGTATTAGACACGGTGCGTCAGAGAAGCAGAGCCCCAATACATGCGTACATATATAGATAAAAATGCATTTAAAACTTGGCTCACGTTATTGTGGGGCTGCAATTCCAAAATGTGCCTGCTGGGTGAGTAAGCTGGAGACCAAGGCGGGGCTGATGTCACAGACTGAGTCCAAAGGCAGTCTGGGCGGCAGCGTGCTTGGGCTGTACCTTCGTCACTGTGAGATTTAGGAAAATCATCCGTTTATCATTACCCTGTATTGCACAACTTTTGAAAAACGTGTTTGTCTCGCTTTTCTTTTTTCTTATTGTTGGTATGCTGTAATTTTTTGGAAATAATAGTTGTGCTGTGTTTGGAAATCTATAAATTCAAGGACTTAAAATAAAATTCTGAGAGTAAACAGTGAGAATGAAGGACAAAGGAAGTTTGGAAACTTCTTAACATTCAGAAATTAACCAACACACTTTAAACCCACGGATTATCCTGGCTTAAAGAAGAAATCAGAAGGGAAATTAGAAATCTTTTTAACTCAATGAAAATAAAATAAAAATTTGTGGAATGTTTCAAAAGCAGAGATTTACTACTTAAAACGAATAATAAGAGACTCTTACAAGCAATTTAAGCAAATAAATTTGATGAGTATAAAAATGAACCAATTTCTTTAAAGACATCATTTAC